TAGGCACTGTATACATACACAGTCTCTACATCTCATTACATGACCATCTGACTGCTGTCCTTTGCTTTGTGCGTTGTGCTTTGGGTCTTTATTCATCAACTGCCAGTCCTAAATGACCATAAATTCCTACAAGGATGACAATTTGGTTCTGTTTTTCTGTTGGTTCAGCTCTTTTTATTAACCTAATAAAGTACTATACAATTTCAAGGGTCTTGTAAAGTAAAGATAAGATAAGATAAGATAAGATATGCCTCTATTTATCTCACAGTGGAGAAATTCACATCGTTGACAGCAGCTTTCAACAGACGTACACAGATACGACACAGGAAGAAACAAAAAATAAAGTAAAGTAAAGACTTGAGTATTTCAATTTCATGCGACATCATATTCCAGTAATGAATGCAGTACTTGTTTAACATCCGCTCACACAGCACAAATGTATATGTCTTTCCTCTTCTGAGCTGTTATGACGTACAGGTATGTATACGACACATTTTGCCTACCTGTTGTACACATAAGGTAGACCAGTAGTTTAAAATTAAGTGGAAGAAAAAATGGCATGTTCTCCATAGAAAGGCTTACCTCAGAGGCTTTGTAGCATCATTGCAACTGAAGCTGAAATTTCAGGGAACATCATTGATTTTAGAGCATGTCTACAGGTGTTAGAAAGTACCAGTGCATTTGCAAAAACTTTGGTATATAGACTTTTTAGTGTCTTTAGGGCGAGATGAATGATGTTTGGAATGTTTGGTTTGTTGTACTCTGGAGTACCAACACGGAAACTAGACAACAGCAAAATTAATATCACTGTAACTGTATGCGATATTTAGAATAATTCCGGTGCATTACCCTGCTATTAGACAACCCTTTCCAACAGGGAAATTTTACCGTACTGAAAATGGGAGCTCCTGGTCTATCGCTGCCTTGATCAATTTGTTTGTGTAATAGTAAGGCTTTTGGTGTTTTAGATTCCAACTTACATGTTGAAATTACAGACTGTATATACAAAGATCGAGGCCACCACCCACTCGTTTGAGTGTCGTTCAATTCTTTTTCACACAATTAACTTGAGAGGTACAGCATGTATTCAGTACTACTGACATGTCCTACAATGAAGAAAGTTAATGTTACTGTTGACTTTTTATCAGACTTTGACCAATTAGCTAGCTTTGTTAGCAAGGTCTCTAATTCATGTTGACTGGGACGCTAATTGTCTCCCCTTCTCTGGTCAAAACAAGAAAAAGAAAGAAAAAAGAAAAAACAAGAAAAAAAACATAACTTTGGCATTGCATTGTACATGTATTATATATGTTATAATTGTGAACAAAGTACAGAAATTAGTAATAAAAATTGGAAACCATTAGGATAGTAAACTTTTACTTGCCAAACTCCCTTCAGAGTCTGTTAGTAAAATTAGCAGATGGAGTTATAATTCCAGAAAATTGAAAACTGATAAAAGCAAGCTAATATATAGCAAAACTGTACGTGGAAAATGTGTTACTTCTCCACCAGCAGCTAACAACAAATCAACAGTAATCATGTTACAAGTGTGTCAGAACAGTAAGGATGTGACTCCAGTTCACTGATGAATGAGCCTCTTGGCTGCCTCGTCCAAATGGCCTCTCAATCACTCCACCCATGACTGCAAACGTTATTTTCATATCATTGTGGAACTGTTTCCAGATGGACCATCAAAACACTAAGCATCCATCCATCCATCCATCCATCCATCCATCCATCCATCCTTCAATCATCTATACACCGCGTAATCCTCACTAGGAGGGCCTGGAGTCTATCCCAGCCAACTTAGGGCGAAGGCAGGGGACACCCTGGACAGGTCACCAGTCTATCACAGGGCTACACTTAGAGACAGACAACCAAGCTCACATTTACACTTACGGACAATTTAGAATCACCAATTAACCTCAACATGTTTTTGGACAGTGTGGGAGGAAGCCGGAGAACCCGGAGAGAACCCACGCTGCAGGTGGAGAACATGCAAACTCCACGCAGAAAGATCCCTCGCAAACCGGCGACCTTCTTGCTGCGAGGCAACAGCAGAAGGAAGGACTTTAACAAAAACAAAACTGTCATGACTTTCAGAAAACATTTGTTGACATAGCATTCCATGATGAACTTTGAATGGGAACCACGTAGCAGCATTTGGTGATATTGCACTTTTAGACACTTTTAGTTTTGCCTTACTTTTTTAGAGCTGGTTGTTACAGCCATATTTTTTATACAGCATAACATAATTCTGGGGGCAGCAAAACAAACTATCATAGTTTTAAATTAATAAGTCGAGTTATGCCTGGCCTCCCATCATTCTGTAAACAGTTGTGATCGTGTTTTATGCTGCACGTGGCATAAGGCTGCAGAGCACATTAAAAGAAGTTAGTTGCCTTGCTGACAAGTTCAAGGTGTGCAGTCCATTCCCTGCATCTCACTGTGGTAGTCCCTTTTTGTTAAATCTATCCATGCAAAATTTCAAAATGATTCACTGTTGAAAAATGTCAAAAATGACCATTGTCTTGTTTTCTAAATGGATTTATGATGACCAGTAGTGCTAAATGTTAAGCCAAATGTGCACAAGTTGCATTGTCTGGGTCCACTTTTGGAAAATGGTAGGAGGCCAGGAGCCAGTTAAGAAACAAATCTTTGTCAGCTAAAGAACGTTAAAACGCTCTCAAGTCATGTTTGAATTTTTTTATTTTCAATTAACTAACAGCCAGATGACATGACATTTGTGAACATTTTAAACATTATAGAAACATGCAAAAGGAAAAAAAGAAACTTCACTGGGAATCAATTTATTTCTTTGTGAATTAGAAAATGTTGGATCGGCCAGGGACAAGCTAGGCCATAGGTTGGAAAACAACCATAGGTTGAGTATTATGTGCTAACTGATGCACAAGCACCTTGCATTTCTTGTAACATTGCAATACATTCATAAATAAGGTCATAGCCTTAATTACCTTTGTGTTACCTCATCCAGCAAAAAGTCAAGTCAAGTCAATTTTAATTGTATAGAGCAGTGTACAACACATACTGGTCGAGGCAGATGGCCCCCGTCCATGAGCCTGGTTCTGTCAGAGGAGAGGAGAGGAGCTCTAACTATAAGCTTTATCAAAGAGGAAAGTTTTAAGCCGAACCTTAGCAGTAGAGAGGGTGTCTGCCTCACAAACCCAAACTGGGAGCTGATTCCATAACAGAGGAGCCTGATAACTGAAGGCTCTGCCTCCCATTCTACTTCTGGAAACTCTGGGAACCACAAGTAGACCTGCAGTCTGAGAGCAAAGGGCTCTGTTTAGATGGTATGGCACAATAAGGTCTTTAAGGTAAAATATAGCTTGGTCATTGAGAGTTTTATATGTTAGAAGCAGGATATTAAATTCTATCCTGGATTTCACAGGGAGTCAATGAAGAGAAGCTAATATGGGAGAAATATGATCTCTTTTATTGGTTCCTGTCAGAATCCTGGCTGCAGCATTTTGGATCAGCTGAAGGTCTTTAAAAGAGTTATTGGGACATCCTGATAATAAAGAATTACAATAGTCCAGTCTAGAAGTTCTAAATGCATGGACTAGTTTCTCGTCATCACTCTGAGACAGAATGTTCCCGATTTTTACAATACTACGTAGATGAAAAAAGGCTGTCCAACAGACTTGTTTTTCTAGCTACTGAATGACATGTTCTGGTCAAAAATAACTCCAAGGTTCTTTACAGTAGAACTGGAGGGTAGTTAGTTATTGACACCTCACTTAACTGAACGTGACAGACATTTATATAAATGAAAATCTTACTTACTTACTTTTGTCCCAGGTTCACTGTCATGTTAAAATATTGAGCATTGAACAATAAATATAAAACTTTTGTGCTAATTCTTGTTTTTATCTTCAAAAGATGAGAAACAGAGCATATTTTACTTAAACTGTTCTGCTGAAACAAATAAACATGTTAAAATATTCTAAACTCCTGAATATTTTCAATAAAATTAAAAAATGTTATTTTATACATGAAACTTAGATGCGTGTTTCCCAAATATGAACCTATTTCCACCAGCCAGTTAGCTTAGCTTAGCACCAAGACTGGATACAAGGTAAAACAAAGGATCCACCCAGAAACCAACGATTTCAGAAAGTCTTTGTTCCCAGCAAGCAAACACTTTAGCACATGACCCCCTGTAATGGTCACAATGTGCTCCTTTTACACAAAGATTTTCTTTACGGGTGCTGGTAGGCAGATTTAGTCTATTTTGGACAGAGCCAAGCTAACTGTTTACAGTTTTTATGTTTATGCTAAGGACTGATGTTAGTCCTTGTTCAGGGTTCAGGATTGCTCCTGGGAGGAATTCTAAAATGTTTGATAAATAAAGCACTGATTTCTTTCTTTTCAATCTTAGTTTTTTTCCCCTCTGCCTATCATCTCTTCTTCTCACACATCACACCACTCACTTTCTCACAGTTTTCCCTTCCCTCACCTTCTATCGCCTACTTTGTATCATATAAACCTAGTCCTATCGTAGTGTCTAGATACTGTCTCTAGAGGTAAAAGGGCTAACAGTAAGGCTTGGTTTCTTCCTCTGTTAACTTCAGAAAATGTTTCATGTCTAAATCTCATTCTGTCAGTGTGACCCAGCTTCTGGAGCAGATCAGTGAAGTGGTTGAACAGAACCGACTCTTCACATCTGACCGGCCAGGTTTGGGACAAAAGCTGGAGACGCTGCAGCAGCACCTGGAGAGTCTGAGCTCCACCCCTCTACCACCAGACTACAACTTCAACAACAGCCAAGGTCAGATGTGCAGCCATCTTTCTGAAGTCAAGGGCACTAAAGCTACACATTGAATATCATGCCATACTGTCAAAAAAAAATAAAAATCACAAGAAAGCTTGAAATCTATTTTTCTTTTAAAAAGAAAAGGCATTGTAAGTTTGAAACTAAGGTGTCTGAAACAGGCCAAAAACAATATACTGGAGGCAGGGGTCTTTGTTCTTAACCTATTAGCTCTGTGCTGAAGTATAGAACAATCTTAGGGAGCATTTAGCATTTAGTCTATGCCAGACTCAGACTGCAGAAGTTTTGTGCTTTGGGCTGATTTACCCCGTTTCACCCCTCCCAACAATCAGAGGAGAAATCTGGCCTGGGGTCTTGGTCTGAACTAACGTGGGGTCCAGAACATTTGGTAATGTAAAGGGTTTATAGATGTAATCTGAAACATCCTCAACTGTTCGCAGTTTCATCGTGGCCAGCTTGATTAATATCAAACATGAGAATTAACAGTTAAAATCTGGATGGTTATAATTATTATGGTAACTCCTGGATTAGCGGATGCTGTTGCGAAGCAGTGTTAAACATTCATTCTGTTAGCAAAACCAGAAACAAGTTTCATCACACAATTTACAGATCTTAATAACTCTTGTTGCAAAACACATTCTCATTCACGAAAACACATTTTACACTGTGATGCAAGTCTGGAGTGAGTTCATTCAGCCATGACTCCATGAACAACATAAGGCTGCACTCCCGATACTCCCACTGCAGCCGAGTCAGCGCTGTTAGCTGTTAGCTGTTAGCTCTTCCATCCTGTTAGGCAGAGACCTCACGTTTCCATGATGATAAGCGGACGGACGACTTGTAGCGTCTCCTCTTCTCCCGACACTTCACTCCTGCCCTGCATCCCCTCTTCCTCCAGCTTATTGCAGATGGCCGGTCTCTCCCACGACGGTGGCTTGGCCTGGCTCCAAAAACAATAGAGCCATGGCTCAATGGCTCAATGGCTCAACGGCTCAAGAGACGTGGAGCCCAAAAACTTGCAAAAAAGCAAAGAACAGACAAGCAAAAAAGGCATCTGCATCTCAACTGTTCCCGCACAAATGTGGTACAGCTGTGTGAAATTAAAATATTAAAAAGATAGAAGAAAAACCCAAAGTAAATAGCAAAAAATACAGAAAGTAGGTAGGAGCTGCTGTAACTGGCTGCCACTCTCACGGCGCCATAACAACTGAAAAAAAAAAAAAAAAAAAGCAGAAAGACTAACTGAGATCTGAGAATATACCTTGAATGAAAAAATAAAAATCTTAATTATAATATGCACTGTTATCAAAAAGTCAGAGTAATCATTCAGAAACTGTCTTGGCGTGGCTATCAACAAAATAGACATAGACCCACTCACACTCTCTTCTTCTAACCACATACAGGAGGAACAGGTGCTCATATAAACTAGACCTATGAGAACCGCCCCTATTCATGTGATTCCACTCAATCATCACCCCAAAAAACAATAATAAACAATATTACAAACTATAAACAATTTCACAACCACTAATAATGTCAATATACAAACCGTCACAAAACATATTAATGCGAGCACAATTAATGAATCATTGAAAATAATTCATATCCTTTACAAATACTATGAAGTTTTATTTTGGTGAGAATTAGTTCATCAAAATAGATTGATGAACGAAAGAAAATAGTGAAGAATTAAAAACATTTTTTAAAAAACAGGCACAATGAGCCTGAGGTGAACACAAAAACAGACAATATGACAGCTTTATTACTGCAGCACTTCAGTGACAATGTAGATATTTCAGGACCTTTTTATTTAGTGGGCTACTTCATTTACAAAAATGTTTATATGGGTGGTACATGTCAAAGTAAAATTGACATAAATTTCAAGTTTTTTCAGCAGAACATTCCATTGTGATAATCATAAAACTGCACTTAAGGTCAGCGATTGTGCTTGTATGTATAACAGAACATGTTTTATGTATGAACTCTGTACATATATAGAAGTTGTTTAGATGTTGATCAAAGTTTTAGTGAATATAGTGTGAATTCACCAACAGAATGCTGAATATAAATCATATGACGTTCTTCTGTGTGTTTTCTTTTGTGTGTGTGTGTGTGTGTGTGTTTTGAATAAAGGCTTCACGGTGGCCAGTATATTGAGGAATCAGTCAGTTTTCCAGCAGTTCCTGGTCAAGAATCTTTCCCTGTCCAACTCCACAGCCAGCCTGCTGCTCAACACTCCAGTGAGCCTCACAGAGGTGATCTACTATCTAACACACTCATTAAACACACACTCTACACATCATTTCACTGTCTGTTCCATTCAGGTTAGCTAACTTCACATTCAAATTTATCTCGGAATAGATTTGATATATTGATCTTTAATTTCACAAATATTTTTATAAATATCCA